ACTCCTGGGCTCAAGCGATCCTCCTGCCTCAGCCTCCCGAGTAGCTGGGACTACAGGCATGCGCCACCATGCCCGGCTAATTTTTTCTATATATATTAGTTGGCCAATTTTTATTAGAGACGGGGTCTTGCTCTTGCTCAGGCTGGTTTCGAACTCCTGACCTCGAGCAATCCTCCAGCCTCAGCCTCCCAGAGTGCTAGGATTACAGGCTTGAGCCACCGCGCCCGGCCTCCTCCACTTCTTTAAGTCTCTAATGTATTGTGATTTCCTTTCCCATCGTCATTATTCCCTGAGACACAGGGAATAATGAGGCTGCACCTTCCCGCTCAGGCGGCCGGACCTGGCTGGGTTAGGAGGGTTCAGGCTGGAACCACCCGGGTCTACTCGGGCGAGGTCCGGGCGCCCCCTGGTGGCGGCCCTGGCGCAGCCGAGCGCTCTGGGGAGACAGGCGACCCACAGCCCTGGGGACAGCAGCAGGACTCGCCATCTTCCTCCAGGGACCACTGGACGCAGAATCCTTGCATCTTCCAGAATAGACGCCGTCCCTGGGAAACCAAACAGATACAACTGGAACATTCTGGACGGTGCTCCCAGGGACATACCAGGCCCAGACACTTTGTGACCAAGCTCTGCGACGCCCGCCATCCATACGCCCTTCCGAGGACCAGGGCAACAGGGCACGTCCTGCAACTCCTACACGAGGCTCTCGGTGACGGCGCCGAGCTGCCGTCCCCGTCCGCCTGCCGGGTCCCCGTTTGCCACCAGGGCAAGGCCTGGTGCGTGGCCAGAGGCCCCCAGCGGCCCTCACCAATGACCATGAGGCCCCCGGCCTCTTTGTCCCCTGAACACCTCCTGCCCCGTGGCCCTCCCTGTGACCCTGTCTCCTTGTGCCGGCACAGCCAGCCCCCGACAGGGAGGAAGCCCTTTGCTGCAGGAAGGTCACGCCGGCCGGGCAGTAAGGACGCCCGTGCCACCCGTGGGTGCCTGGCCCTGCTCTGAGCCCACCCTGGTGACGGACGTGCCCCCGACCGCAGGCCAGACCTTGGGTCTCCAGGGACTGGCTGACGATGGCCACAACCGGCCGCTCCCGAGGCCCCGCCAACGCCAGTTCTCACTTCTCAGAAACTCGGCGCCGCCCGCAGGGGGTTCCTGGGGGTTCCCGTCTTTTTCTCTTAAAATCAAAGCAAACGTTCCGGTTTCTTCTTCTTCCGTCGCTGGTGGAAGCAGGCCGGCTCAGACGTGCCGGGTGAGCGTGCGGTGGCCAGGCCCTGGGGCCTGGGTCTGGGTCTGGGGTGCTGGCAGCGGGGGAGGGGAGGCGTGTTCCTGGAGCCACGGCAGGTGCCGCTCCGGTGGGCCCGTGAGTGTGGTTCTGATGGCGGGACAGTACAGGCCACAGGAGAGCCCGGGCGGGGACCCGGCGAGGCAGCCGGGCAGTAGAGAAATGACACAGCACGGCCAAGAAGGACCCGACTCGGGGACCCACGGAGGCTCC